GCTCAAGCAGCTAAGGCGCCAGCCACATATACCAGAGCTGGTGGGTTCGAATCCAGCCTGGGCCTGCCAAACAACAATGACAACTATAACCAAAAAATAGCCAGCCGTTGTGGCAGGCGCCTGTAGTCCTAGCTACTTGGGAGGCTGAGGCAAGAGGATCGCTTAAGCCCAAGAGTTTGAGGTTGCTGTGAGCTGTGACACCATAGCACTCTACCCAGGGTGACGGCTTGAGACTCTGTCTCAAAAAAATAATAAAACATAAAGATGGACTAAAGATGAACTTAAAGTCACTGCAGAGATATAGTCACTTTTGGTGATGCCTGGACAAGATGTTCTGTATACAGAGGGAGCTAGTATATGACTTTTTTTTTCCTTTCTCTTATCTTTTTAATTTTAGAAAAAGGGAGGTAGAGTTACTCTACCAATGCTGATTCTATGTTACTCCGTGGTACCCTATAGTCAATGGAAGAATCGTATGGTCTATACCAGGTATGGTTTTCAGGGTTGCCAGCAACAGAAATTAACTCTTACACAGAAAATGAATTTATTATGAATTTATTAGTTAGATAAAAGGGTTGGTGGGGGCAGTGGCAGAATCAACCAGAGGGCTGGAGGGCAGGCCTAGACAACAGATAGAAACCAAAGAAGTTTGGTGGCCAGGAATGCAGCCCAGAACACAACTCAGGTTAGATCTCAGGAGCCCTTGGGGTCAGGGCTTGGTGCTTTAATATTTTTAAAAACTATTCTTATTTGATTTTTGTTTAGCAGGCGCAGGACAGGTTTGAACCTGCCACCCCCAGTGCATGGGACCAGTGCTCTAACCATTCAGCTACAGGTGCCCAGCTTTAAAACTAATCTTAACTATTTCTAAATGTGACTTTTCTCAGGGTTCAAATTTAAGAGTGAAGCTCTTCTGATTGCCCAGTTTGGGTCTCATGTGCTTGTGGCCAAAAGGCAGGATAAGGGGGGACCTTTTTCCCTTTTGGCTTTTGCAATGGAAAGCAGGACCTGGTCCTATCTGTTACTTCCTACACTGGGGGCTTCCCCAGTAGGAGTGGGGCTTGGATGGTGCTGGGTCCTGGGCAGTTAGCATCACTGTGGTTCTTTAGGGCTGCCTGGTGCTTTCACACTCCAGCCAGGAGGAAGGCTGGGCAGGCACCATTTTCTCAATTACAGAAATGTGGAAAAAAGTATAAAAGATCAAGCCAGGTGTCCAAAACTATGTGAGGTATAAGAGATGCCTCTTCGTCACTCTTGTCTACTCTTCTTGATGCCCCAGAGGCTTGGGTGGAAGGGCACATGTTTTGTAAGGAAAAGGATATGCAGAGATCTGTGAGAATTGTTGGTGGAACAGCCCTGAAGTGGTTTGATGAATGGAAACCCCAGAAGGGGTAAAAGCTAAAATTCTGGTGATTGATCTCCAGGAGAGGAGAAGGCAAGGACACTGGTACAGAGGATAGTGGCTGAGTTCTGTCCCCAGCTCTGCATCTACTGCAAATGCCACCATCTGACAATAGCTGGTTCATGTGCAGGGTGGCAAGACTGCCAGTCACCTCCAGGATGACATAATTCCTGTGGCTCCCGTGGACAGAGTCCGTATGCATGCCTCCAGGCCTTTGCAGACCCTGTTCCCTCCTCTGAGAATGCCCTTCTGCTTTTGTTGCCTATGGAATTCCTGGTCATAAGCAGCAAAATCCAGTTCTAATGTCTCCTTGTCCAGGCAGCCTTTATGGACTTCAACTTTCTTAAGAATGAATTGTCTTACTCACCTTTGTCACACCTTGCCACATTATAATTGATTTATTATGTCTGCCTCTCTCTCGGACTGGGAGTATCTCAAAGACAGGCTGGGTGTTATTCATGTCTGTGTCTCCAGTGTGTGGTCCTGGCTGGTTCCCCTCAGGAACACCCTCCACTGCCCTCTGTGGAGCCAGCTAGGGGAAAGGAGAAGCCAGGATGTCTTTTCTTCGCACTCTGCCATCCCTGGCAGGCAAGCGTTCCTCTGTATTGGTAGCCCTCATTAGATGATCACTGTGGTTGGATTGGGCATCCCATGACCCTGATCCCCATAACTCTGCTTCCTCCCTCTGTCCCTCCAGCCTAGGGGTGGCAGCACCTCCTGCTGTTGCTGAACTCTGTGGTACTCAAGTCCTGTTTGAAGGCTCAGCTCTTCCCTCACTGTGTGTCCGCTGTTGGCTTTGTACTCCTGTCTGTTATGCACTTGGAGTGGTTCTGTGGGCTGGTTTGCATCCCGACTGATGCCCCAGTTCCTAGCATGTGCTTGGCACAGAGTTTAAGAGGTTCAAGGGCTGGGGAACTTTGAAGAACACCTCTTCTCATCCTTTCATTTTACCAAAAATGAATGGAGAACATGAAGTCAAGTGAGGTCCAGTGTCCAGCCCCACCACCATCCAGCTAGAGCAGCCTAGAACTCAGAACCCAGCTCCCCTGACTCCATCACCTTGGCTAAAACTGTGACTACCTAGGACATGTAAGACCATGGCTTTGGCTTATTTGTGGCCATGGCCTCCTCAGCATCTCCAGCACAGTCTCTCACACTAATACATCCCAAGAGAGCTCTTACGTACCTCCCCATCGCAGCCCTCTTCCCGAAAGCTCCATCTCAGGAGCCAAAGTTCATCTACTCCCACAAGCTGGAATCCCAGGAGTCTCCTTGACACTTATCTCTATCTTACCCCACATTCACTGCCTCTTCTAGTCCTGTAGATTTTTCTTCCCAAATACCACCTCTCTCCACTTCCCTTTCACCCACTGCCCTGTCATTTTAGGCTTTTGTCACCAAGCAGCTGGACGAACACAGCAGTCTAAGGAAATGTGAGGTCCACCAGGGCAAGGATTTGTGTGTGTGCATACGTGTGTGTGTGTTGTTCACTGATGCCATGTCCTAAGTATCTAGATTCACAAAGGTTAGCTAACTTTTTCTATAAAGTGCCATATAGTAAATACTTTTGGTTTTGCAGGCCCTGTAGTCTCTGTTACAACTCTTTAACTCTGCATTAATAGCATGAAAGGAGTCATAATTGGAAGGGTTTTACTAAAATTTTATTTACAAAAGCAGGAGGTAGGACAGATTTGACCTGTGGGAGCAGTTTGCTGACCCCTGGTCTACAAAATTACTTGGTACATGGTATTTGACATTTAACTATTTTTAATTGAAGCAGTCTCCTCTTGTGACCTATTGCTTCCCAATCAAGCCCCATTTTTCTATCCACAAACCAGATCATGACATTCCTAACCCTCAATCTCCACCCCACCCACCTGCTTTGAAGCCTTTAGTCTTATGATAAAATTCAACCCCTGATGAAAGCCAGCATTCCCCGTACAGTCTGGCCCTTGCTTCCACTGTGGCCTTATATTCACTGTGTGTGCTTCCCACCCTCTCTGGGTTGCCTTTCCACTTTTGCACAAGTTGGTGGCAACCACGGCTCCCAAAGCACTTGTTTCCAGCATGGTCATCACCTATGGTAGGTGCCCCGGGCCTTTGCATATGCTTTCTCCTGCCTAAAACTCTATTCTCTCTCTCCATTGCTCATCCTTCAGAACTTGGCTTTAGCCACTTCCCCCAGAAAGGCTTCCATGATGTCCTAGGCCAGGTGCCATTAAAGCATTCTTTCTTGCACTGATTCTGGCTGTAATTTTACCTGCTTCTGCACTTCATCGACTAATGTATGGTTCCCCATTAGAGGAGCTCCATGAGGCACAAAGACCAAATCTGTTTTGTTCCCCATCAAATTTCCAGAATGCATTTCAGTTAGCTAGCACACAGCGGTGACTATGAATGAATGAACAATGAATGAATGAATGGCAAAGAGCTGAAGCTTTGGAACCAGACAGATTATGAGTTCAATACCTGCCCTCACCATGGGGGCAAGTTCCCAACCTCCTGAAAGCCTTGTTTTCTCACGGTAAGACTGAGACAATGACAGGGCCTACCAGAAAGACTATGTTGAAGTGAGTTGAGGCCCTGCAAGTCTCAGCCCAGAGCCTGGCTCCAGGTGGCTACTCTCAATATACTGACTGGAACAGTAACTGGTGCAGAAATCCCGTCATATGAGAAATATCTTTTTAAAAATCAGAATATTTAGTCTGGGGAAGGAAAGATCAAGAACAGGGAAGAATTCTCTTCAGTTACACGGATATGGGCTTCTCCTGAATCAAGCTGTCTCAAAAAGTCATGAAGTCTCTGTCCTTATAGGTGTACAAAAAGCAGCAGGGGTACCGCACCGTGAGGGTGCCTAGGTGACCTCAAGGGTCTGTTCCAACCCGGGGTCCCTCGTTTGTAAGCACTTGGAGGCATCATGAGCTCGAGAGGGAGGGGGCGCGGGAGGGGGCGCAGGTGGAAGCTGGTGAGTGGGGTGGGCAAAGGCAGCTGGTTGGACCGAAACGCCAAGCAGCCCCAAGGACCAGAGGGACCGCTCAGCGACTCTGGGAGCAGAGAGGGGGCGCTTAAAGCCAACAGATGGCGCGGGCTCACCTAGACTGAGCGCCCGCCTGCTAGCTCCGGCTTCCCGGGAGCGTTCCCCGCTTGACCGGAGCGTGGGGCGGCCGAGAGGCTGGCTGGACTCCCATTCCTCTTCGTGACCCACTGTGGGACGGCGAGCGGCCCTGCGAGGCTCAGTTCTGGCACGCACCTGGGGCCACTTCTGCTGGCTTCCTCTCTGCCCCTTTGGGGGATTCGTCGAGTTGCCACAACAGCCGGTGCCATGACATCGGCAGAGGGCAGCTTCACCAGCACTGACAATATTCATGCCCTAGCGCCGGAATTTTAATTCCCGGGATCTCGAAGACGGGATCGGGCCCGGGGCTTGGGGGTCCGAGCGGCCCACCGGGTGGGGGCGAGCGGCGCAGCGCGGGCGGGCAGGCGGGCGAGCGGGGGCTGGGCGAGGCGGGAGGTGAGCGAGGAGCGTCAGGAGGCGGGGTCTGGGCGGCGGGGGCCGAGCGGGGCGGAGGAAGCGAGGGAAAGTTGATCGCGGACTTGAGCAGCCGCGGCGGCTTGGGAGAGAGGGGCGCGGGCAGCGGGCACGATGCTCGGCCTGAGGACGCGTCCGACGGCGGCTGGGCGCTGAGCCGGGCGGGGCGGGGCGGGGCGGCCCAGCCCCGGGCATGGAGCGCTGGGGTGCAGAGCCTCGGGACGTTTGGGGCGCGCCTCGTCCGATCCCGCGGCGCGCCTGAAGTTGCTCCAGCGAGCGGGCGGCCGGAGGGGACCCAGGAGCAGCCGGTTTGCCGCGGAGAGCCTTCGCGCCGGCGGCGAGACACGGCGGTGGCCAGGGCCAGAGCAGGCGGCCCGCGGGGCCGATCCGGTGGAGAGCAGAGCCCGAGGCGCGGCGCGGCGCCGCTCCGCACACGCACACGGTACCAAAAGCCACGCACCGCCCCTTCCTTCCCCGCTTCCCTCGCCTTCCCCGAGCCTTTCGTCAGCCGCGCGGCGGGAAAGTTGGTCGCGATTGCAGCCCCCGAACCACTTGTTCCTGGCGTGGCCATCGCCTGCGGCAGGCGCCTGGGGTCGTCTTCCCTTCCGGTCCCTGGTCCCGACTCAGCGCCCAGCTCGCAGCCCGCGGCCGGACACGCGGCAACTTTAATTCCCGGGAACTCGAATTCCTTCCCTACTGGCCTTGGGAAGACAGGCACCCCACCTTCTACCCTTGGTCCTGGGACCGTGGACATTTGGGCGTTGCTTTTGGCGCTTCAGAGAGTGTCCAGGTCTGGGTGAGAGGAGAATTTCGGGAGTAGAGGGCGTTGGGATCCAATCCCGTCCCCTTCTGAGCTCTGGGTCCCTATTTGGACAGTGGTGATGGGGTGGGGCAGACTTCCACTGCAGGGTGTGCAGCCAGGTTTAAGGAACCTAAATCACGTAGGTCTCTCTTCCCCTCATCACTTCCCTGCGCCCGCGGTAGAACCCAGGGGACTTCGGCATCCTCCCCAGTCCGGTCCGACTATGGGAAGACGCGCCCCTCGCGGAGCCGGGAGTCTTGTGCGGCTCATGCTTGGCCTCCCGGCCCGGGGCCAGCCCGCTACAAGCGGTGCTGGCTGTCCCCAGGGTCTTGCGTCTGGGGGCACTGCCCCTCATCTCCATCACAGGTCAGCCCGGGACTCGTGCAGAGCCCGCGCATTCCAAGGCGGTGCCGGCTCCACACGGTGGGCGCTCGGTGCCTTGCTTTCCTGGAGCTGGCACCTAGAGCGGCTGCTTTCGTAGCGTGCCGCGAGCAGAGATCCCGTGTCCTCCCCGCCGGCTGCCGGCCGCCGCCCGGCTGCGACCCCAGCCCCAGGCCTGGCGCTGTCAGTGGTGCTGTGGGAGAAAATTAGTCTTGGCTGGGTAGTAACATGCTCCCACCCTCCCCAGTAATTCAGAAAGCAGAGCCTTCCTCTTCTGGGTACTTTGCCTTCTAGGACCAGAGCAGGCATTTAATTGACCCTTGCCTTCCATCCTCTTGGCAAGTGCCCCCACCCCAATTTGGATTTTGAAATAAGCTGGAGAGACACGAGGATTGGAGTGTCTGCATGTGTGTGTGCTGGGTGGAGTCAGACCCCTGCATAGGGAAGAACAGGGTACCAGGTGTGGGTGGGCTTTAAAGAGCGTTGTTAGGGCCAGGTGCAAGGTGCTGATGAGTCAGCCCATGGAAGGGGAGAGCTGGCTCTGAGTTAGTGTTTGGTTCATGGTGCATGGGTAGGTGCGCTTCAGTCAGCACCTACTGGGACAAGGGGCCAGATGTCCCTCTGCTGAGGAGGGGCTGGGGGGGTAGCAATGCTTGGCACTATCTTCTAGCACTGGGGAGAGCAGTAAGGGAGAGTGCCTGCATGGCAGAGAGGAAATGTGCCCATGAGCTGGAGAGGTGGCACTATGTGACTGTGTGAACCAGGTGCTGGAGGAGAGCACCAGGTGAGGGCTGGAGCCCCAGGGCTAGCATCCTGGTCTTACTGGGCTGGGACCGGGTACCCGTCTGTTTGGCCTTCCTCACCTCCACACAGCTGGACTCTTTGTGTCTGGGCTTAATGGTGGCAGATGGTCCTGGTTACCTCCCAAATAGCCTCCCCAACCAACAAGCCACCTTACCTACAGTTTCACCTTTGGAAGTTTGTTTCTTTGAGCTAAATAATTTAAAGGGCACCTTCTGAAGTGCGAATTTAAGCTACACTTCCTTCTGGAAGGTGAAGAAGGTGCAGAGGAGCTTTCTCTGAGTGTGGCCCGAGGACATGCAGCATCAGCATCACCTGGGATCTTGTTAGAAATGCAGACACTCAGGCCCCACCCAGGCCTCCTGAGTCAGTCTGTACAGGAAAAGATCCTTGCGTAATTTGCAGGCTCAGTAAGATTTGAGCTCTGGTCCATAGTACCTAGTAGGAAATGAGCATTTCATGGCCTCTTGGTGCAGAGCCTAGAATAGGGCAGTGAATAAGAACGTAAAGATAAGAAAGAGACTGAACTTCTTTCCTGGGACCATTGTGCTAGGGTTGGGGATAAAGTCCACTATTGGCCACTTGGGATCATTGGTGTTTTGGGGGGCCTTTAAACAGATTAGAATAAAAGCTTAGCTTTCCATGCAATTAAAACTGTACATGGAGCTGAATGAGGTGCTGTACCACTGTAGTCCCAGCTACTTAGGAGACTGAGGTGGGAGGATTGCTCAGGAGTTCAGGGATGTAGTGTGCTATGATCACACCTGTGAATAGCTACTGTACTCCAATTTGGACAATATAGAAAGATCCCTACTGCACATGGGCCAATAGGAAATAGGTGGAAGGGGCAGGGTTTCTGGAAGCTGGGCTTGGCCTGTTTCTAGGGTACCTAAGGCTGAATAGATGCTGTCCCCTAAGCAGAGGAATTGAGCAGCTGTCCTTCACTTCATCTGCCCCTCTGAGATGGGTGGGATTGTCCATTGGTAGTGTTTCTGGGCAGCCACTGAACTTATGCAGAAGGGGAGTATATACGTGCCAATTCAGAATAGCTGTGGAGGAGAGGATACAGACCAAGCTCTACCTACACCCCAGCCTGGACTAGACATTTCAATTCTACTGTCCTGGGGTGGTGGAGGCCCCTGGCCCCAAGACATAAGGATGATTCCAAGATATGGTGACAGTTCACCCTCTTGGTCCTCTGGAGAAAGGGTAACCTTGAAGCCATCAAGGCTGGCCTGAGAGTTGGGTCTGAAGGTCTATGGGAGAGATTTGGGACATAGGCCTGGTGGTACTGATGGTATCACAAGTGAAAAGTCATAGCTTATGCACCCCAACTCTGCCAAAAGTGCATGTCCTTCCTCTTGGCTAGCCTCTTTGTCAGGAAGAAGGCAGCTCTGCCAGGGGAAAGGTTGCAAGAAGGATCTATGGGAGGACATGGATTAGCATGACCATGGGCCTTGCAAACAGCAGGCTAATGTGAATGCATTCTGACATTGATTTGAAATTCAGCCTGTGTGTGGTGGCATCCACCTTAATCTCAGCACTTTGGGAGAGGTAGGAGTATTGTTTGAGGCCAGCCTGGGTATCATGGCAAGATCATGTCTCTGTGAAAAATAAAACAATTAGCCCTGTGTGGTGTCAGGTACTTGGGAGGCTGAGGTAGGAGGACTGCTTGAGCCCAAGAGTTAGAGGCTATAGTGACTATGATCACACCACTGCATTCCAGCCTAAACAACAGAGTGAAACTTTGTTTCTTAAAAAAGAGAAGAAAAGAAAGAGTGAGTTCAAAACTAACTAGGCTAGGCTCGGTGCCTTTGGCTCAACCGGCTAGGGCGCCAGCCCCGTACACCTGAGGTAGCGGGTTCGAATCCCCAGCCCGGACCCGCCAAACAACAATGATGGCTGCAACCAAAAAATGGCCGGGCGCTGTGGTGGGCGCCTGTGGTCCCAGCTACTTGGGAGGCGGAGGCAGGAGACTCGCTTGAGCCCAGGAGTTGGAGGTTGCTGTGAGCGTGATGCCATGGCATTCTACCCAGGGGGATAGCTTGAGGCTCCATCTCAAAAAAAAAAACAAACAAAAAACTAACTAGGCTAATAAAAGTCTTAACTATTCTCTTGAGCCCCCAGGGTTTTAGAAATTGACATTTTAATATATAAAATGTAAAAATTGTCTTTGAATGCATTGGTTTCAAATCTAATTGTAGTTGTTTTTTTACAAATATAGTTCAAGCCTTTATTTGGGCTCCTTTGAGCACTGGAGCAATCCTGTTTGTGAGCAAGGACATTTATTTATAAGCAGGACCTTGCTGGGAGGGTTGTTTCAAGATGGGAGTATTTTGCCTCTAGTAAAAGAGAAATGGGGATTGGAGTGGATTCTTCCATCCTCCAGCCTCATGTATGGAATGTGGGTAAGCCTTCCTGCTTGGGTGGAGTGTGCTGTCTGCCTCTCCAGCCTGTGCCTCCCTCCCTCACCATCCTTCCATGGTGCTTATTACCACTCTGCATTGGTCTAGCCCCTCACTAGCCAGTGAGCTCTTCCAGGACGCAGGCTGTGCCTTTTTCTTCCTTGTATCCCCAGGCCCACCCACTGATGGAGCTGGTGCTCAGCAACTGTACTTTGATATAATGGGCTACTGCTAAGCGCCATTCTTCTGCCTTCTCTAGCCCCATTGTTAAGTGGTGATTAACACACCAAGTGTTTTCTTGCCCCAAATCAGGTTTAGCTCTTCATGTGGTTCCTTCCATCTTGCTGTATTCTGGGCTCTAGGCAGCTGCCCTTGCTGTAGAGGCTGCAAACTCACATGCCTAAAGGGGCTAGGATGCAGACAAAAGAGTGAAGGAGAGCCAAGTGTAAGACAATAGGGAATGCTGACGACTATGGAGAACTGAGGAGCAGAGACAAAACCCACCTATGTGATACAAGTCAAAATAATGGTTACACCTCTGGGGGTGAAATGACCGGGGCACAGGAGTGCTAGAAATTGCTATAAATTGATCTGAATGTCTACAACAGTGGTGAATGATCATTTTTGCAAGAGACAATTCAGAGAACGTTATAACATTTATGGGCCATATTCATTTGAATTCAACATAAAAATAGTTTTATTGAATCTTTAGGGCAGAAAATGTATATTCCTTTTTTTTTTTTTTTTTTTGGAGTTTGGCTGGGGCCAGGCTTGAACCCACCACCTCTGGTATATGGGGCCGGCACCCTACTCCTTGAGCTACAGGCACTGCCCCCGCCCCATTTTTTAGAGACAGAGCCTCAGGCATCACAGCTCACAGCAACCTCTAACTCCTGGGCTCAAGCAATTCTCTTGCCTTAGCCTCCCAAGTAGCTAGAACTACAAGGGGCCTGCCACAATGCCCTGGTCTTGGTATTTTTTTTTTTTTTTTTTTTTTTTTGGTTGTAGCTGTCATTGTTTGGCAGGCCTGGGTTGGATTCGAACCCGCCAGCT